GGGTGAGATTATTGTCCTTGCACCATGACACCAGACCGGCCACCTCCCTCCTGTAGGCTGCTTCGTCCCAGCCAGTAATGCGACCTATCACTGCGGTGTCGTCCGCAAACTTTAGGACGATGTTGTCTTTGTGGGAGGCGACACAGTCGTGGGTGAACAGGGTGTAGAGGATGGGACTGAGGACACATCCCTGTGGGGTGCCAGTGTTTGTAACAATGCTGGCTGAAATCCTATTGCCAATCCTGACAGTCTGGGTCCTGCCAGTCAGAAAGTCCAGGAGCCAGTCACAGATGATACGGCCATGTTGTGACGAGTTGATGTGAGTGGCTTCATTCACGTTTCTAGCCTGGGGTTTTCCATTATGTTTTGGTTAGCCTTGCTGCTAACATAGCCTACTTTACCATAGCACCAATTTTACCACCAATGTGTCAGTACTGAGAGATAAGAAAACCAGTACAAACGAAAATGCATGACATGTTGTTATGGTGCATTAACTGTGGCCCAAATTTGACAGTGAATAGCATTGAATGCTCATGCTAAGAAGGTAAACAAAAGTGTTCTTTCTGTGTGCGTACATGTCCTAGTCGTCCTCTGCACGATTGGTCAACACAGCTCCTTTGCCGGATGATGTTACCGTCTGGTGCAGTGAAAGTTGAACCAGTTCTCTTTCACCACACAGGGTTGCATTGTTTTGCTGGAGCCCCCCATGTTGCTGTTGCCAACAGCAGTGAATACAATTCCCCATAGAAATGAGGGCCGTATTTTTTCAAACCTTTGAAAAAGCCTCAAGCCTCTTTCAGGCCAATGCTGTCGCTGAAATGTGGGAACAAGTCAGACGTACTATTCGGGAGAGCATAAAAGAGTAACAGAGCGACTGTCTCTTTTGTGTAGCACAGAATTGACAACCTTAATTTAACAAAGAAAAAATTTAAACACTGCCATAACTGCCAGTGGCACAATGTCTCAAAAAGCATATAAGGTCTGAGCATCTAAGCATAATGAAATAGTAGTTATTACTGTGACAGACACGGACACTGATTAATATGTAGGCAGCCACTGCCAACCAAGCGCCTCAGCTCAGTCTAGTGGTCCTACTATAAGTTTAAAATGTTCAGTCAGCCTCTGCCATGGATATATTAATGAAAATAACAGATGGCAGTAAGAGAAAGTTGTATTTTGTACAGTCTCTTGTACTGACAGGATGTGTTGTGGTTTTATCAGGCAGAGGATTGTTTTGCTGCTGTTATAAAGTAGGGGGAGGGGGAACTGGACGGTGCCTTGTCAGAGACAAAGGTGTTGAAGTTGGCTGAGGGCTTAAAGCCAGAGGTGCTTGTGGAGATGGGCAATGAGGGGGACGTGAGGGAGAGAAAACAAGAGGGGGTGAGGGGTCAGTTTGGTCCCAGCAGTGACCAGTTCCTTCATCTGGTCTGTAAATTCCAGAAAGGGAGAGGAGAGGGAGAGGGTGGCCAGCGAGGAGGGAGACCTGGATGTAAACTCGGGGTGTAGGGAGGTGGTTGTCATGTTGGTGGGGAGATTCTTTGTCTAGACCCCGATGCCCCTCAAGTTTTATATTGTACTCAGGTGGACCCTGAGATGGCTGTCTGTCATGGTTGCTGACATGCTGTGTTTTGGCTCCTCTTGTCTCATGTCCTCGGCAAGGGGAACAGATGGATGATGCAGGACGTGCAAAAGGTTGGAGATGCACAGATTCACTCCTGGCTTGTTAAGGCAAATTCCTTCTGCCCTACAAAGATATCTGTGGTCCCAGAAAAAGTTGAAATGATCAAAGTGCACTTTCTGTAGGTTACAGGCAGTTGAGAGCCAACTGTTCAGCGCCATCAGTCTGCTGAATCTTTCATCACTGCTGATTGGTGGTAGAAGGTAAACACTGCAGTTTTCAAGGAGATGAACGTGTTCAGTAGATCAGTAAAGTCTTTTTTTTAAATTGTTGTTTCACAATGTCATTGGCCCCAACGTGCACTATGGTGTCTTTTACAGATGGTGTTTAGCCAGAATATCTGGACTTCTTTCTCTCAGGTCTGAGACTGTATCACTATCAAGGTCTGAGGCCCAGTCATTCTGTTTTCAGAATTACTCTTGCTCCTTACCCTGCTTTGTGAGGATGAGAGGTTATCCAGGTCCTCTTGCAGCTGTCCACTGCTATATGCTGCTGTGCACAGGGGTTGATGAGGTGCTCTGTTTGGATGGTAGTGCAGGCCAGCCAGTAGCGCCAGAGATCTCTGGCCGCTGGGCTCCTGTTATCACTTGTCCTCCTGTTTCCCAGGGACACGATTTATAATTTTGGCTTTGCACCAAGAGAGTTCCAGAGAGGACTACTACATCCAGATTTATTACAAAGCAGACAACCCTCCTGTTTCTTCTTAGTAGCCTTGTTGGTGCCAATTAGCTGTGGCTGAGCTTCCTATGGTCCACTGTTTTGAGTCATAGTAATGTGGTGTCATTTCCACACAGTCCATTTACTTCCAAGTTAATTTCTCATCAATCAGTCTTAATTTCAAGCACTGTGATCTTCTGGAGAAGTTTGTGAAAGTCTTCTGAAGTGAAGGGGGGCATTCTGCTGATAACTAGCCTCAGCTAATCCCAGTCACTGTAGATCAGTAGAGCAGCACATCAAAAAGGAGCCTTTGCTGTTAGTAGGCACACTTGCCTTGTAAAAAGTGCTAAAAATATGGTTGTAGCCTTCTGTGTATATTAAAAAATAAGATCCCAGTGATATACAAGTGTCCAGTAGTCACCGTCCATAAATCTTTAGCAGGAAAACGGATATCTCCATGAAGAATGTAAGCAAAGCAGTAAGTGTCTGCACTGTAGGAAAGCAGGAAACAAAAGAGGTCTGAATGCTTTGGAAACCACTGTGCTGTCTGTACTTCTGTTATCACACAGCTTTTAATTGAAAATTTAAACTTTTTTTAAAGCATGCCAGTCCATATTTTTGGCACGCTATTACATCAGATTTTATTCTGTTTTCTGTTCGTCCACATAGACACACCCAGCATTACAGCCAAGCTGATCAATGAGCAGAAGGAGGACAAGGAGAAGAAGAACCACGAGGAGAAGGAGAAGATGAAAGCGGACAATGGCTTCCAGGACAACTACAGTGTTGTTGTGGCCTCAGGTAGGTGGTTCTGTTCCATACACACACTCCCCTTGTTCAGCCATCAGCCAATTTCCCAGCCTCTGCTGGTCATCATCTCTTGTCCCACCCCCTACAAGGCAATCCAATTAAAAATGGAATAGTGTAGAGTGAGATATGTTAAAATTAAGCAGTGCCATTTGGGTAGTCTTTGTAGCCTGAAGCCAGTAGAAGTGAGTGCAAGTGGTGGCTTTCAAAGCCAACATGTGTGGTAAAGGTATTTAATTAGCTATGATAAAATAAAATGTGATTAGAATAATTAATGCCAGATGCTGATTCAGACAGCCCATGTATAAAACAAAGCACCCACTTATTTGCTTAACAATAAGATTGTCTGTCTGTACAGAGGACAATGGAACAAGAAGCAACTCCACCAATTTTACAGAGTCCGTTTACAGGTGTCGAGTTAGTGCTACTATACTGTATATAGAAAAAGTCATCTGTGGCCCCAGAGAGACCTGTGTGAAGTCTGGTGTTGGTCGGCTGAGGCTGAAAACTACATGTTTGAAAAGTGAGGCTAGAAGCTGCAAGCAACATTAGTCATTATCTTTAATTTCCGACCCCACTTTTACTGGCTGATTTGCATTGTAGGTAATGTAGGCTCCACATTTGGACAAGGAAGAGGATTTGAATGGAATATAAAATATGATACCTTTTGGTTCTGCTGCATGGATTTTGATTCTCTCCTTTGTGGGTCTGACAGTGTTATAGGAGTGCAATGTCTTTTAAAACCCCTGTTGGAGATCAGCAGCCTAATACAGACTGTTTCTCTGGAGCAGAGTATCAGCTCACCACAGTACAGTAAACAGCAAATATATCCACAGTATATATCAGTGTGAAAGCTCCTCTACCATAATGTACATGCATATATTTATAAAAGCTCTATCTTTTCCTTTCATTCCTTTCCTATTTTTGATTGCACACATTTCCTACTTGAATGCATATGCTGTTTATTTTCACTTTTATTGCTCTACTTTTTAATTTTATTCTATTTTATTATATTATTAAAGATAATTCTGAGTCTAATTTTTAATATAAAAGTTACTATTTTGATCACAAACAAAGATTTTCTATTTCAGTAGATAAGAACAAGACTGAAAGTTTATTGGGTTTCCATGTGTTACTTTGTCATCAGGTTTAAAGTCCCAATCCAAACGGGCTCTTTCAACCCCTCCCAGACCTCCATCAAGGAGGGGTCGCGTAATGAGTGATAAATTGACTGCTTCATCTGGTGTGGACCCCTCAGCCAAAACCATTAGTGTGCCCGTCTTCCACCTTTACCACAAGCTGCTTCCAGGTACCGCATGCACACATGCAAGCTTAACATGCCAACTCGCATCACAAGTATTTGAGTGAGACACTCAAATAAAGTAGCCAGAGTTCAGGTATTAATGACACAAATGCTTGTGTTTGCCCTGCCAGGTCAACCCCTTCCACCTGAGATGACCCTGGCGCAGCTACTGACACTGCTGTATGACCGCAAACTGCCACAAGGCTACCAGTCCATCAACCTGACAGTCAAACTGGGCTCCAAAGTCATCTCTGATCCCGGCCTTTCCAAGACCGACTCCTTTAAGAGGCTACGCACTGAGAAAGGTACAGTAACATGCAGCTTTACACTACTTGTGGAAGAATTCTCTTAAAGAGCCCATGGCTGCTCCTTTTGCTCTTTTACAGCCATTTAATGTTTAATCCTGGGTACCTCTAGATTAGCTTGGCACCCGTCATAACTCCAAATGGTTTGTAATTATTTCTGAACAATAAAACCAGAGAGCCTCTTCCTAAAAATGAGAGGCTAGTTCATGATCACTCACAGCTCTCTCCTCAGCTTTCTGTGGTCCATGTTCAGTGTGGCACACACCATGATTCCAAACAGCACAGTGACTACTTTTCACCCTCATTTTTGTCCAGGCCAGTTTCATTAGTTTTTTAAAAATGCTTCTGTTGAACCACAATTCAAAAGCAATGACTGATTTTAATTTTCAGTACATTTTTGTTATTACTTTTGGCAGTTTCATGTTATTTCAGTGACCATTTTGAGCTTCTCTTTGTTTTCTAAAGTTACTTCTGCAGATTTCTCTGGAGATAGCTTTGAAGTTAGTTTTTCAGTTATTGCTAAGATCACGTCTTACTCTGCTCGTGTATCAAGATTTGATGAAGGTGCACCTCGGTCAGGGCTCAGCTTGCATTATGAGGACTATTTTTTTAGGCTGTTTTGAAAGAAGGGCTTTGAAGTCTAACAACTGGTGCAATGGTTTTGAGCACAAACTGTTCAGCCACAGTCACTTGCCACATACCTTTGCAGCCTTCAAGCAATTTAAGCTTTTTGAACCTTAGATGTTGATCTCATAGAACATTCATTAGATTTTAGATGTTACTGTATTGTTCCTGTATGTACACCAGAGATGCTGTGCTGAGTAATTGTTTATTTTGCCTTCATGAAGGATGTTTATAATTTAATGTCTAGCTATTTATTATAAATGCCTTATCCAGTGAGACATATAATGAAGTGAACACTGTAGCTAAATGATACATTGTTGCTAGGATTAAACTGCTGACCTGCCTCTAGCCTAGGATTTGATTAACTTAGCTCTCTGATTCTGCAAATTCATGGGTCAGTGCTAGGTCAGATGGTCAGATAAATTTTTTATTTGTTTTGAAGATCTCAACACTGGTGAATCTGCAGACCTGTTCAGATACCTTTTGTCCATTGGCCATGATCCATATGCCCATGATTCTAGTTTTAAAAATTGTATTTTCGTTGGCTTGGATGACTTTTATGATGGATGACTGTGTAATTTCAATTTTATAGATGCTGACAATTTAAGTATAAATTGTCTTTAACATTTTGGAGCTTATTAGACAACACTGTGGGTGGTACAGCAGTGCCTCACAGTGAGAACGTTTCGGGTTTAAGCTCGGGCCGACCCGGGGAGTTCTCCCTGTGCCTGAGTGGGTTCACTCTGGGTACTCCACCTTCCTCCCACAGTCCAAAGACATGCAGCTTAGGTTGACTGGTGACTCTGAATTTCCCCTAGGAGTGAGTGTGAGTGTGTGTGGTTGTCTGTCACTCATGTCAGCCCTGTGACAGACTGGCGACCTGTCTGGGGTGGACCCCGCCTCTCGCCTACTGTCGGCTGGGATTAGCTCCAGAACTCTTAAGATCCTTTTGAGGCTTTGCCATGTTTTTCTTTTCTATTGTATTTTACAAACTGGAATGTCATGGATATAAGTCTGTAGGCAGAGATACGGTGCTTCCAGAGTGCCCCAGAATGTCACTCCACCCCCTTTTTTCTCTAAGAAAAGAAAAAATATTTGAATTTCATAATGTTACATTATTGTGAATGCTTGATGAATGCACTGTGTAAGAGATTTTTTTTTACCTTTCCTATTATTGCATACTACACAAAGGAATTTTCAAAATATTTATTTCACATTATAATACGTAAACTGGGGGAATGAAATTTTAAAGACGTGGCTGTTTACCTGTCAGACGGATCAAACAATTTCAGTTCCATTTTTGTGTGACTTAAGGGCACATGTTTTTAGTTGTTCTAACAACCTGGACTCTTTGCCACTGTTTGTACCTTCAACAAGACTGAAAGGCTAGAAATCTAAAAAAAGAAAAAGCTCTATGAGGCTGTAATGAGGCAGTGTTATAACATAAAACGAAAGGGATTATCTTCTGGTGAGCATAACTGAGATTTGCAATGCTGTCATCTTCTTTCATTGGAAAGAAGCTTTCCAGATCAGTCTGTGAGGATATAACGGCATATTGCCATGGAGATGGTGTCATTTCATACTTTATTGAAACTGTGTGTATATTCGGAAAGGTGTACCGTACATACACACATGGAATTTACTGCAGGAAAATGGAATTAAACAATGATGGAGGGTTTGTTTTCCAGAGTGGGTAAAAGTGAGGGTTGGAGTGAGTATGGGGTACAGGGGGTAAAGGGTAGGAATGGGTAAGGGGGAGTGAGGAATGGGTAAGGTAGGAAGGCCAATGGTGTAATGGTGGGGTTGGGTAAGAGGTGGGGGTTTCAGGAGGAGTCCTGTTCCTCTCTTTCTTCCCCTCTTCTTCTTTGTTTTTTTCTCCATTTAATTCTTTCTCTTCACTGCTAATTGTCTCCTTTTCTATCTTTTCTCTTTTGTCCTTATGTTTTCGTGTAGTTTCTTCTCATTCTGCTCCTATTCTACCATGAGCTACTCCTGCTCCTTTTTAGTGTTGTTTTAGTATCAATTGCCATTTGTTTTTGAGGACGAGCTCCTGAAAAGAAACCCTTTATCAAAGAACCCTGTCTTTTTTTTTTTTTTTAATTACTAGTTCCTAGAAGCTGTCCTAATCTATGGACTTTTACTTAATGGCTAACCTGGCTCAAACTGATATTATGCTTAATTGAAACTGGAATGCGGTTAAAATGGGTGTGGTGTCATTCCCTGCTCCTCCTTCTGAACTCAGTGGTAAATGGAGCAAACCATAACATTTAATCGTGTGGGCAATTACAGCAGACTCAGTTTAATGTATATAAACTTACCACCATAGGAGAAGTGTTTACACGGCACTCAAAAGGAGGCACAACTTAACCATGCATGTGCACAAGCGTGCGTCACAAGTGCTCTTGTGCTTCAGTAAATAGCACTGCACCTCCCTCTATAGGTGCGATACCAAGCCTTGTTCATGGCTCCAAAACGATGTAGGTGCAACCAGGACATTCATATCAGTCTCATAAGTGATTAACCACAAATGTTTATTTAATTATGAATGAACTATATGGAAAATACAGCAAACATATTAGTGTTTTAGTTTTAGTTGTGATTACATAATCAGATTTATAACTAGAGGTGTAAATCACCACTCTCATCAATACGATCCTATATTGATTCTTTTAGCCAGCAATCTGATGTTTGTGGAAACTAAAAATTTGCCATGATGCAATTTCGATTCGATTCAGGGGCCTGCGATTGATACAAAGGGGGGGGATTCTACATTGCAGCTGGAGTTTTGTTTAAAACATAACATTCACACTGTTGTGTGTCCTTTTTAATCCAGAATACTTCTATACCCACAACTTGTTTCTGATGGGAAAGTTTACTTTATCTGTGTATTTTGTCATTCAGCCCGCTCAGGCAGCAGATAAAACTCCAATCTTTCAAATGTGTCCGTTCACACTGACTCAGGGACGTGTGAGACATGCATCACCACTGGAACTGTCGAAACGTGTTCTCGTAAATTGAAAAGAAAAGACTAAATATAAAGATATTTCACAGTGTGAAATTTATTATGCATTAACGTATCAAAATTAGCATGTGCACATGGTTCTTGACTGTTTAGGATAAACAGAAAAGACTAACTTCAACTTGGCGGTATACAACATTTATATGAAAAATGTTACTATCTGATTGGTCCAAAACTGTTGGGGAGCAATTGTGGTTTAAACTTAATTCTCCCAAGATTGGTCCTTCAGTCCGTCCATCCTCCAATCATCCTCTCTGCCCCAATGGTTGTGGACAGCACCCTAAAAAGGGAGGAATACCAACCCTGTCTTAATTCCTACATAGACACTTTTGTCTTCCTTTGTTTCCAAGAGACTGCCACATTTTAAACACTACCCCTCTGTTCAAATCAAGCTTCTCTGCCTGTGTGTGTCTGTGTTGCCCTGCCTTTGAAGTTGCTTCCTCTTCCTGGCTCAGATCCAATCTTTGTTCCAACTATTCTAAGAATTCCATTAAACTATAGCTCCCCCGTCCCATTAGCCAGGTGGTGGTAATAAAGTAACTGTGGACCCTCTTTGCTAAAGCTGTAAATCTAATAAATTTTAGTGTTTTAGTGAACTAGTCCCCTTGATTTTAAACAGTGCTCCAGTTGGCTAACACAGTAAATACTGACCAGTGATTCAATGAACACATAGGGTGATATGTAGATATGTAACTACATAAACATAAACACAACTGTGAGATTAAAATATATAAACTTATGTATGCTATAAAAATAAAAACCCTAACTAATTATATTCATTTCTATCTAAAAATGAAAATCACCCTAACAGAACTCCCTGTTTTTTGACCAGCCACTGTCTTGCTGACAGACAAGCCGCTGTTCTGATGACAGTGACACTTAATGGAAGTCCGAGTCGGTGTGGACTGAATGGATCCAATGCTTCGGTAGTTTATACATTGCTCACATCTCACTTTTAGTGTGAATTCCCAGTCTCAGAATGCTACAGTAGCTGCATCGCCTAGTGCTCGTCATTCAGTTTAAAAAGAACAGCACTTCACCAGTAATATGTACATACAGTATGTGGTGGTCTGACGTTTCGTGTGCTGTAATTTTGACAGTTTGTTTTGCATTGATGTCCTCAGATTGCAATGTGTTTAACCCTTAGATGCACACGTGGGGTCAAAAATGACCCCACGGGTTGTTATTCTTCAAAATCTTTAAAACGAAAAGTTGTAATATATTTATATTCCAGGTATTCCTCATAAAACATGTTTGTGACATGAGGCCATTTGCATTTTTATTTATTTTTTCATTAATTTTAAGAAATTGCAGTTTTTGTATCACTACCCCACTCTTCCACAAGTGGGGTCAAAAA